TCTGCAATCAAAACACAACCTAGATTGCTAAACACAGCAAAGCATAATTTGTACTCACAAGAAGATACTCTAAAAAATGAGGTAGAGAGAGTGAAACCTTTTAGGGTTTCATTGATACAGCAATGTGTAAGAGAATGAGCTAGAGCATGGAAGCACGGAAGATAATGAGGAAGCACGGAAGCATGAAAGCTTAGTAGAATGAACGAGAACGAGAGTGACGCGGAAGACAATGAGGCACATTTACGAGTTCTCCCCCAAATTTAGAATGAACTTTTAAGATCGGTCATTAAAGAGCCGATCTTAAAAGTGACGCAGTGACATTTTTGTAAATAAGGTTATAATTTTTAAGATCGGTCACATTTTAGCCGATCTTAAAAGTACTTTTAAGATCGGCCAAAATGTGACCGATCTTAAAAGTTGTAACCTTATTTACAAAAATTCCACTGCATCACTTTTAAGATCAGTTAAAATGTGACTGATCTTAAAAGTTGTAACTTTATTTACAAAAATGTTACCGCATTACTTTTAAGATCGGCTCTTTAAGAACCGATCTTAAAACCCCGATCTTAAAATTAATTTTTGTACTAGTGTAACAACTAGGACTACAACTTTCATGAAGATAACAAAAGCTAATTCAAATGTTAAAAGGGTGCATGATTGTGAATAAATTCATAACAATATGGTTAAACCAAGCACGAGCGTGTTTCACACTAAGCAGACTCGTCCTACCATAACAAAGCTTCAAATTCGTTCGAAACTCCACCTGAAGCATGAATTTCACCTCTAAACTCTATTCTTGCACCATTTCTCAATTAAATCTCATTCTAAAACTTCCATCTTACATATTACTCACAAGAGCCATTTCAATTTAGGCATACAAAATAATCAAATCAACCCCCCCAAGCCTAATTTATCTCCCCCAAGAACCTTAAAGTCACAAAGCTAGCTACAACAAAGATCTAATTCATCCAAATCAATTAATAATTTCACCACAAGCAATCAACAAAATGCATTATATATTATCAAGACTCAATTTGGGGTGTTCACAATCCCTCCATTCATACAACAGAAACCTAAAGAGGCTTAGGGATCATCTTATAATCCACAATACGAATGTGTCACACATGGAGAGAATCTTACTCCTCCACTTACCTCAATGAATGTTTGATGGTGAATGAGGATCTTCAGGATGTGCTCCTAAAGCTTATGCATTCCTCTCTTGGAGTTCTTGTGTTTCAAAGAAAGGAAGAACATTAGGAGAGAACATAAAACTATAATTAACCTCTTCCCTTAAAAACTTGTCTTTTAAAAAACTAAATTATTTTTAAAATATTTAAAAAAAATATAATAATTACTCATATATTCTCCAAATAAATTGTATAACAAAATAATTTTCACACCTTTATCCCTAACAAAAACATTTGCAATTATTTTATGAGACTAATTTATCTTATAAATTTTTTAATTAATTAAAATATCTTTTTAATAATTTTAAAAAGGCTTAAATATATTTTTAGTCCCTCAAATTTAAGACAAATTTATTTTTTGTCCCTCAAATTTAAAATTGTTATTTTTAGTCCCTGTAATTTTTAAATTTAATCTCTTAAGTCACCAATAACATATTTGAAAATGATTAATTAAGACAGTTATGCAATATCAACTAGATTTAATATGATATTTTCACTAATAGAAACACTAATAAGTGAATTTTATGCAATAATATTTGCTAAATTTTTTAACAAAATTTGAATATAAGAATTAAAATAAAAAATTTTAAAATTATAGAGATTAAAAATAATAATTTTAAATTTAAAAAAATAAAAATAAATTTATCCTAAATTTAATGGATTAAAAATATATTTAAACTTTTTAAAAAACTTAGAGGAATACACTATTTTTCTAAAGTCACTTTTTACCGCTTTTTAAAAATCTTTATGTTCTTGTCACGTAAGCGTCGTATTACTGATTGATGTCATCACTAAAGTGACATGTTATCAAGTAATGTTAGCATCAATGTCTTTAGCTACCGGTTAATTGATGAAACCAGTGCTGCAAACAAAGTGGCATAAAGCAAACTAGCCAATTAAAACGCTAGTCTGAATTATGAAAGAAAGCCAGAAACATTCAGTTCCAATGCAAGTCAACTCCTGAACTTAACACTTTGCCACTTTTCTTGACCAGTTTCTTTTTGCTAGGGCAACATTAAAGGCATATCCAATGGACTAGCAACATGTAGACAATTGAACAATGTGGCCAAGTGTTCAAGACCAAAGAGTTCAGAAATATTTGCATTATTGGAAATTGTGCACATAGGTGAACCCTATTATAACTGATGTGGCATAAGCTGATCCTGCAACAGAGAAGGCCATAAGAAATTGGCCAATGCATTGCAAGAGTAGCATGAGGGTCCACATGAAGGAGCCAGGGAACTGTGTTTCTGAAGTAAAAATACCAAGACAAAATCAAAAAAGTACCTCTCAATATAATTTCAAATACTCATATCGGGCAAAAATGAGCTTATTGTGCTGGCATGGTACACCAATGGTTCGGTGAAAATGAACTTATTGAAAATGTAAGCAAAACGAGACTTTTTTTTTTTATTGTTGTTGTCACTAATTTTGACATCATTTTGTCGTCTGATTTAAAAAAGAAGAGAAAAAAAGTCACCGAGCAAAGTCGAAAAAAGAGCAAATTTTTTTAGTTATTTAAGCACTACACTGAACTACGATTTTAAAAATCCAATTTAAAAAAACAGAACTGTAAAATAGCTCGGTTCAGTTTTTAGTTAGAACTCAATTTTTTCAGTTCAATATAGTACAGTTATTTTGCAAGAATGGTGGGGAAGAGTCAGAGAGGGAGGGAAAAAAATCCAACAGAAGAGGAGCATGATATTACTTTAAATACTAGATAAATCTATAGACTTAAAATAATAGTCCAAGGTAGCATGGACGTAAACAATTATGTTTCTTCTTTACTACTGTGGGAACAGGGGGCAAAGAATGATCAAGTCATCTTCCGACACAAACCTGGTATAGGAGCGCCAATTTGCTTCATAGATAATCAACAAGGATAGGCTCCAAAAAATCAAATTTTGCACCTCAACTTCAAGAAAAATTCCAAAGCCACATTGCCAATGGCAAATAGGTACTTGAATACATTAATGCATTATTACACGATACATCAAACAAAGCCAGAATACCACGGGGAAGCTATAATCACACTACAGCCTCCAAGCACATTCTATTAAAAACATTTGAAGATTAAAGAAACCAAATCTACTATAAACATAAGAAATAAGGACTCACTATCCAAATCTAAATGAACAATTTAAAACAGACAAGTCTCCGTTCAACAAGGTACCAATAAGTATGTAGGTAGGGTATAGACTAGGACTGGGAAATAACACAAAGAATCCTCAACCAGTCCACACAATAAGAATCCTCAACCAGTCCACACAATTATCAGGAACGCCTGACTCACCAAGACAAGCTCCCGATTTCCCCTTCCGTTTCCACCTATATTTCACTAACCCAAAATAATAAAAAAAACAAGAATACAAGCAACAAAAATCAAATCATTAAATATGAGAGGCATTAGATTCCAATGAAAAATTCAAAACTCCAAATAAGATCCAACCATGCACCAAGAACAGTATGAGTGGCTCTGGTGATGATTTCGAATGTCAGAAGAGATTTTAGAGTCACAGCCTAATTTTTGAACAGTAAGTCCATAAAGACAATGCAAGTTCCATCTAATTTTAAAGCTCTCCAGGTCAAAGACAAGGTATACATTAACTCAACCTGCCAAATAGAAGCACTACTTCATGAAGAGGCATCAAGAAAGAAGGGTAAACATACATGTAGTTCAAGCAATCCAGTACAGTCATAATTAACACACGGTAATTGCATTCATCACTTGGGAGGTTGATTCACTTATAGTGTGTTTGGACGACAAATTTTACAAATTCAAGGAATTTTAAGTTCTTGGTATTTGAATTACTTTAATTTTAATTTTTATCATTTTTAAAATATTTGTTTGGATAAGTCAATTCAAATTTCTCAAATTTTAAATTGTTGGATTGGATATAATAATTTAATTTTATTATAATAAAATTAATTTTAAAAATATATTTATATATTGAAAATTTTAAATTAAATTTTATAAAAATAAATATTAGCTAATTTTTAAATATTTAATAATTAAAAATTAATATTATATAATATTTAATAATTTTAAAAATATTTTTGAATATTTAATAATTAAAAACATGAAGATGATAAGAAATAAAATAAAATATATAAGTGAAATAAGAAGAAGAAAAAATATGAGAAATTTCAAATTTTTACTTTTTTAGGAGAATTTAAAATTCTACTATTTCAAGAAATTTCACAAATGCTTGAATTTTAAATTCCTTATAAATTCTCTATCCAAACAAGACATTTCACCTCAAAAAATTTGAAATTCTTCAAATAAATAAATTACTCCATTTAAATTCTCCATCCAAACACACTATTAGTTATTAGTGAATTGTTATTAACAGTTGAGTATCCAGAACCACTTCAACATACCTTTTCAAGACAGTTGGGAACTGGTTAGTACATGTAGAGCATGGTACAATGCCTTCTACTGACATTTTGGAAACTACTAAAATTCACGTGTTACAAGCAATAGACAAACACAAAAACTTGAGTCATAATCATTATGTGCCACGAGTCGATAAATGCAAAGATACAACCGATGCTTCATTCCTTCCATCATTTTAAGGATTTTCTTGATGCTCTTAATGTAAGCATGCAAACAAGAACCTTACTGATATATACAGGATCCAGCACTTAAAAGATATTGATATCATCTTTTAACGATAAATACTTAAATTGTACATTTTAAAATTTACCAGCACTTAAAAAATTGTTAAACATAGCATTTAGAAGGAAAATTTCATAGAACTGTATCAGTGACTTGAACCACAAACACAAAATTCAAACTGCATAAGACAGAGGTATAAAAAGATAAATCAAATGACTTAAATTCCTGTAACCGAGTATAACAATTTCTTCAAAATTTAAGAAACTACAAAATTTTGAACGTGTCTTTGACTGGAAACATTGCATACAAGAAAAATTAGGCACTCAGCTACTATGAATTACTGCTCCATAGCAATTAGAACTTCTCAAGCGACAGGAACCTCAATATCATTAGCCAACACTGCAGCAGGCCGGATGTATTCCTCCTCCTCCTTTGGAGTATGGATTGTGACAAGATCGGGGAGGGGAGTTTTTGGACCCTGTTTCCCCTTAGGATCCCAATCAAGCATAATCTTCACCTTGATGCCAAGAACACCCTACGAGACATCAAGTCAAAAAACAATTTAGCATCACCACGGATGTACAACAAAATATATCAACAACCAAAATAATATATTCTATCAAGAATCTACAAAGAATAGAAGCAAAATAACCTGTCTGAGGAGCACGTGTCTCACAGCAGAGTCAATATAATCCTTGACAGGTTGCCCAGAAGAAATCATGTACCCATCCTTAAACTTCATGGATTTGGCTCTCTGGGCTCTCAACTTCCCACTCACAATCACCTGCTCAAATCAAACAACCAAACCACATCACACAAGGCAACACCACAGTAACACAACTTAAAGGCAAAATCACTTCAGCAGAACAAACCTCACAGCCCTTGGCACCACTCTCCATAACAAACCTCAATACACCATAGCAGGCCCTGAAACAGAAAGTTCAAGAGTCTGCATTGTTATACCACAAAACCTCAGAAGGATCATATTCAAGCAAAGAAAAAGGTCAAACATCAGGCAGATTAGCTGTTAAACTAAGAGAAACCGTCTTCACAGGAACAATTGAGCATAAAAGATATAATTTCATCAAAATAAATATATCCCAGTTTTAATAAATAGTAAAAATCAACATAGATACAAGAAGATAGAAAAATAGGATTACTTTCCCACAATGATAAATTTTCATATCAAATAAAAAAATGTCACCAACATAAATCATGATTATCAATTAGGTTAGGTAGCAATCAAGAATCAAAAAACAGTCCACAACTGCAATTCCAGCAACAACATCAAGGTTTCTGAAATCTACGCAACTGGAATTGGAGCTGCAAGGCATTTGTCTACCACAATAACAACTAGATCAGGAAGCAATAAAGATTTTAAAAACCAGTCCACAACCACAATTCCAACGGCAACATCAAGATTTCTGGAATCTCTGCAATTGAAATTACAGCTACAACACCCTAGTCAATAATTGTCCTAAATATCAAGAATCACAATGACTCTATAATGTATACCTCACTGAAGAAATATTTGAAAATCTATATAATTAAAAAAATAAATATGAAAAACTTTCAATAAACACATAATGAGCAATACTGTGAAATTCCAATAGGCTTTTATTCCTAGTAAACTTTACCTAATGAACTGCATAATTTGAAGTTAAACATTTAAATAATTATAATAGAAGAAAAGTCGCAGCCACCCCTCTTTGATAAGTTTTTGGATCAGTTCCTGACTATAGTTTACAAGTGTCCTCAACAAAAATGATTGCAATGAATCTATATAATTATCCACAATATGAAGAACAACCATAACCTCAATGTAAACAATTAATGAAACTAATATGCACATTTTGTTTAATAAAAGAAATACACACCTGCGCACAGCGAGGCCACCAAGGAGCTTGTAGCGGAGAGACTCAGCCTGTGCAATAGCGCAAAGACCCCTATTGTTGACTTTTTCGGCATAGAGTTCAACGCTGTTCTCGGGAAACTTGAACCTCTTCTGAACCACGGAGGTAAGTTCCCTAATTCTCCTTCCCTTCTCCCCTATACATACACAATTAAAAAAAAAGTTCAATACACGATTTCAATTATTTCAATTAGGTAATAGAACATTCTAGAACACGGCACTAGAACAAACCGAGAACGGCTTGGGTTCGAGTGGCTCTGATGATGATTTCGGTGCGCATCGGCGTAACCCTAACCTCGACGCCGGAGTAACCATCCTCCGCCAGCTCTCGCGTCAGAACCTCGTTGAGTTCGGCGAAGAAGACTCCATCGGCAACGAACTGCGCGCACAGAATAAGACGCGAAAGCAATATTTGAGCTAGGGATGACGCTAATTGCAATTGGCGAAGGTTGAGCAATGACTAATGAGGGACTCACCTTTCTCTTCTTGCTCATTTGGGTCGCCATTGTCGCGAAGCTGAGATGCAGAAGCACAACGTAAGTGCGTGCGGCTTCGGTTGGACTGAGGCGGTAAACCCTAGCTTGAGGTTAGTGAGTGGAATATATAGGTTCATGCTCACAGTGAAAACCCTAATTAAGGAGCATAAAAGTTATACAGAAAATAATTGTTTATGTTAATTTAATTAATTAACCTTTACTTTGGTTAGCCACTGGTTATGTTATGTTTGCTAAAAAAACATACTGGTTACGCGCTAGGGAAAAATTGGGATAGATGAGTGATAATTCATCCAAAAATTAAGGTTTAAAATGTACTTCGTTCTAATTTAATCATTTTCTATAGTATATATTTTTTAAAAATTTCAATTAAAAAAATCTTTAATAAATAAATTGGTAAAAATTTTCCAGCTTTAGTCTATCGTTTTTAATATTTTAATTAAAAATAGTTTTTGAAAATTATAATGAACATATAAGTTTTACAAAAATAATATCACATTTGATATTTTTTATAATATTAAACAAAAAGTATAAAAATAATTATCATATAATATTTTTTTTAATATTGAGTTATAATAATAAGAAATATTTTTTAAAAAAAATTGCATACATAATTCAACATAGATAAAAAAAAACTTTTATTTCCAAATCAAAAATAAATTGTGTGAAAATATGTTAATTAAATTAATAATATGAATTTTTTTAGTAGAAGTGTAATTTTTTAACTATCATATTTTTAGATTAATAAAATGTTTATATTTGATTCCAGTGAAGACTCGCAATTCTGAGGTTGGAGATCAAGTAGTTAGAATTGTACAGAGTTCCTTTTCTTCTCCTTTTTTCAATTTGATTATCCTAGAAGGTAAGGGAAGCTTTCCTTGGATGCATCTTGTGAAGTTGATTTGGTGATTCTTCTAAACCTTTAATTTCTTAGTTGTGTTGCTAGAATTGTGATGGTTGAATCCTGGGTTTTGGGGGAAGTTGGTTTGGTTCTTGTAACAATCATAAGGGGGTTTGATGAATATTTGAAATCTATGGTTGCATGTCCTATTTTGTGTTCATCTTTAGTTGTTGTATATGTATTTTTGGATATTTAGATGAGTTTCTTTGGTTTAGATTTGAGATTGGAACTTGTAAGAAGTTTGGGATGGAATGGAGGGGTTCGAAAACCCCAAAATCATGAAAAATAGAGATAGTCTTTATCATAAAATAGTTGAGCCGTTTTGAAACGGCTGAGTAAAATTGAAAAATGAGAAATTGGGTGTTTTTGGAAGGAAATGGCCAAGCCATTTAGAAATTGCTTAGCGCATTTGCATATTAAAATCAAGTGTGTCTCTAGAAGGAAACGATTGAACCATTTAGAAATGGCTGACCGGATTTGCATATTAGAATTAGGTGTGTTTCTACAAGGAATCCATTAAGCATTTTGTAACGTTCGAGTGTTTTGGTGCTTTTCGAATTAAACTTTGTTGTCTTCATAAAAGTTGTAGCCCTAGATGTAAGTTTTTCAATGGCTTTGGGATCACCTAAAAAAGGGGTCTAGAACTCCAAATATGACCTTTTTAGTGAGTAAAGGTCAAGTTGTCAACATTTAGGAAAACTATTGTGATTTTTGTAATTTTCAACATGGTAAATGATGGAATTAGAATCTAAGGTCTTCAAAAGAGTTGTAGATAATCTTTTTATCTTTCATATGAGATAAAGATGAGTTTGATTGAATTAATGAAATTCCAATTATGTTGTGTTATGTAGGAGTTGTTGTTGTATGCTAATTGATGATTACATGTTGAAAATGATGTGTTAATTCCCTTATAGCATATAGTAATATATGATGTCCTAAGTTGTTATATAATGAATTTTTGATATTTAGATAATGTTAAATGATAATAATTGATGATGAATACTATTGATGTTGAGTTGTATATTGTTGATTAATTTGATGAAAGTGGAAAGTTGTAAAGTTGCATGTAGTATAAAGCAGTAAAGTTGTGGACATTGTTGAGTGTCCTTTTTTATATGTTTTGCACTCAACTTTTGGCAATCTTTATATATAATTGTAGATAATATATATGTATTTCACCCCTTTAATTTATAGAATTAAGTCATACTATAAGAGTAGAGGAGTAGTAGCAATCTTAATGAATTTTCTCATTTTGTGCAGGATCTTTTGGCTAGGCAGAGATCCACAGCCATAGCTGTGGATCTGGAGCTTGAGCTGTGGAAGTCTGGGAAGGATTTAGAGGTCCAGAGACTTGCAGCTATAGCTGTGGTTCTGCAGCTATAGTTGTGGAAATCTGGAGTGATCATTTTTTGTTCTAGAGACTTGAAGCTACAGCTGCAGGGTCCAAGGCTTGAGCGTTGATGCTTGGGAAATCAAGGGAAGCCACAGAGACTCACAGCCATGGCTGTGGTTCCACATCTACAGCTCAGGAAGTTGCTTAATAATGAAGGAGTCTCCACAGCCATGGCTGCAGAGCTACAGCTGCAGCGCCAGAAGTTACTTCACCTTGAAGGATTCTCCACAGCCATAGCTGTGGTTCTACAGCTGCAGCGGTGGAGTTAAAAATTTCACTTTTTGCCCAGTTTTAGAGTTGATATAAAAGGGAAAAAGGAGGAGAACCTGGGTACAGAATACAGAGCACGAATTTAACAAAGAAAAACAGGGGAAAAGCTTGTGAAGAAGGAAGAACGAAGGAAGAACAGAGACTTGGAAGCTGGATCCTTTGGGAACGAAGATCAACTCCATTTCTTCATCCTTTGCTTTGTAATTTCTTCTTTTCACTCTTTGATTCTGTAATGGCCATGGGTGGCTAAACTTCTTAAGGATTGGTTAGATGTAACTACTAACTCCTCTTCTTCTTAAATATATGCATTTTGATCTCATTATTTGTGTAATGATTCTTCGCTTAACGCTTATATCGGCTTGATCAACCGTTGTATGATTTTTGGCTTTTGAATCCAGTTGGAAAACGCTTTCGAAAACCCGAACTGAATCTTGCACCTAATCACCTCTTGTTCTAGGAATAGACTTGATTTGGTTAGTCACATTGTTCAAGTTATTGTTCTTAATGCGAAGTGTTAGACTCAAAACATTGAGGAATCATGTTTTGAGCTTAATGACTTTAGGATTCAACCTTGAGGAATCTTGTTGGATTATTTAATGAACGTGGAAATAATGAAATTAGAATTGCATTTATGCTAAGAAGATCTATGAGTTAGCAAGTGCATCTGAGCCAATCCTTGTTTCTTAATCATTGTCTTTACTACATTTGCTTTATTGTGTTGTTTGAATCTGTTTTCACTCAATTGAATTTTTAAACTCATTCTCTTTTAAATCATTTGAGCGAGAATTACTAAACACGCAAATCCCTGAGGACGATCTTTAAATACTACTTCGAAACTTGGTTCACTTGCCAAGTGATAGGTTTGCGAAAATCTTCATCAGACATGTGGTTGAGATACATGTCTAAGTTGAAATACATAGATGTTATAGGTGAATTAAGTAAATTAAAGAAATATCAATTTAACATAGGTAAAATGGTTCACATATCCAAAAGAAAATACATTTCCAATATCCAATTAATTTTAAATAAAGATTAAAAAGTAAATAAGTTCGTAAATAGTTTTAAAGGAAATGTAAAAACTCCAATTACAATAAAAATTAAAGTCCTAGAAGACCCTTGTCCTGATGTCACACTATCAGAGCACTCCCATGACTCAATTATTGTCACTCATGTCCACATCTTCCTCACCTAAAAACAATCACAAACAAACGGTGAGAAAAGAAAATATTTATATAGAAAGCACATCACGAAATTTCACAAAAATAATCTCAAAGCAATATAATCCATAAACACAACATTCATCATTCAAACATGTTCAACATCATTTTTCAAATTCACATATTCCATCATCTCATCACAATCCACATATTTCATCATCTTATCACAATCCACATATTTCATTATCTCATCACAATCCACATATGTACATATAAACAAAATTGCACATATACACAGTGTCACACATCCAGCACCGTATCACATACACACTCCTGTTGCCAAATCACACGCCCAACATCATGTACGCACATGACTGTGCCAATGCATTCTACTACCAGCATTGATATCACGCATACGACTATACCGATGTATCACACATCTAGTATCGTATCACGCATATGAACATACTCACGATAATACATAAATAGCATTGTATCACGTGCACACCCTTACGGTTTGGTGTCACACATATGACTGTGTCCAATCATCAAATCATAGTTCACAATTTAATTCCACATCACATGCACAACCAACATTTCCACAATAAGTCATACACATATCTTGCACAACCTCCTTATATACATCAATCTTTAATTCACAATTAATTTACATTCCATCCAACAACACCATTTATACTTCTTCATAAAATAGTCATTACTCGACATCATACAATTCACAACCATCATCAGAACCCATTAATATAATACCAATTTCACAATCTCACATCAAACTCATTCAATCATATCATAAGTATTATAAAGCATCACTAAGAAATCATAAAGTATCACAAACATGCCAAAAAGGGGATCCAAAACGTCAAAAATGCAGACTAAAATAGAATATCTGCATCGGACACCCTAAGTCTTGACAGCTTAACCTCTACTCATTATTTTGACCATCATATGAGTTATACTCATCCTTTTTGAGTGATTCCAAATCCATTAGAAAGCTAACACCCAAAACTACAACTTTTGTGAAGAACATGAAGCCTAAAAATGTTTTTAAGGTCACCTCACATGGTTGACAACACAAAAATTAATATTTCACGCACTAGAATTGAGACTCAACTTATAACTCGCAAAACTCGTTCAATTCTTAACATTTTTTACACGATTCTAGAGTCTAAATTATAGCCCGAAGTGTCTACTTTGTGACACCCATTCTATCTCAACATATAATATAATATAATAATAAAGAATAACTCCTTCAACACGGGTAAAATGGTTCACATACCAAAATACTTTCAACTGTCCAAATAATTTTAAACAAAAATTAGAAAATATAAGTTCGTAAACTCAACTATTAAAGAAATATAAAATCCAATTACAATAAAATGAATAATCTAAAATCCATCG